TCATTTATGTAAAGATTATTAAATGGCTAATTTTATTATTGAATTTTAATACAAATTAACTGAAATTAAACTGATTTTGTAAAATAGTTTAATTATGAATACTTCAATTTGGGGGCTATTGGATGTTTAAAAATGATCGAAAGATTTTTAATATCTTAAAAATAAAAGCATTCTCTTATAATATTTTGTATTAATAATTCATTTTAATTTCCTTGCTCAGTTTTAATATATTCACAAATTCTGTTTTAAAAACAAAATAAGTTGTATAAATATTCTCAACATTTCTGATTTTTCCATAGTAACCACAGGAGAAGGATTTGAGACTATCTGTGTAAAATAAGTAGGTTTTAGATCATTACAACGCCTTCACATACTTTCACTGGAAGTTTCTTTGTATATATACTGGGTATTAAGCAGTTGAGAGTATGTATTTGAGAGGTTAAAGGGATATGTAACTAGTATTTCAAATCCTGATAACATCCCATACGCTGTCGGTAGGACCTAGATAGGATGTCCTAAGAATATACTGGGATGTGACATTAAGCACTCAGGAGGATGAGTTTAGGAGGAAACTGGGATATTATCGGATGTCCTGAGGATGTAGTAAGTAAGACTTTAAATCCTAATAACATCCCATATGCTGTTGATGGGACATAGATAGGATGTTCTTAGGATATAATGGGATGTGTTTAGGAGGTTAGTGAGATGTCCTGAGGATGTAGTAAGTAAGAGTTCATATCCTAATAAAATCCCGTAAGCTGTCAATGGGACTTAGTTAGGATGTCCTGAGGATGTACTGGGATGTGACATTAAGCACTCGGGAGGAGGTGTTTAGGAGGTTTGTGGGATATTCTGGGATGTCCTGAGGATGTGCGCCTATTCCGCGAGCAACATGCTCGATATCCCAAGGATGTTTTTATGCTATGTGGGGATACAGCGAGGGCGTGACATTAACAGGTCCAATGCTAATGGCTCAAGCCAAAATATTTTATGAAGAAATGAACTTAAAAACTGAGTGCACATATTCAATAGGCTCATTAACCAAATTCTAAAATCGCTGTGGTATAATGCAATTAAAAATTTCAGTTGAAAAAGCTTCAGCTGATACTGAAGCTCCTGAACCATTTGCAGATGAATTTATTGGACTCATTAATGGTGAAACGTTATCTCCAGGACAAATTTACAACGTTGATGAAACTGGTCTTTTTTGGCAATATGTATAACTTGGCAACCTCTACAGAAAAGGCTCCAACTGGTTTCAAAGACAGACTAACAATTTTAGCAGGTGCAAATGCTGCAGGAACACACAAGTGTACACTTTTTGTAATCGGAAAAAATACATGACCTCAAGCATTTAAAGGAGTAAAGGTTTTCCCATTATATATCATGCAAATAAAAGAGTACGGATGACACAAGCATTAATGTATGATTTGTTTGAAAATCATTTCATACCTGAGGCTCCACAAAATTTGAATTCGGGTTGGTTTATCTGATGATGCAAAAATTGCCCTGATTGTAGATAACTGTTCAGCTCATATTTCACTTAAACTTTTAATGAAAGATAATATATCCATGTTATTCCTTCCTCCAAAATGTATGCCCATCATTCAGCCTATGGATATCGGAATAGTGTATGCGCTAAAGTGCTAATATGAAGTCGCATTTTAAAAATCCACGTTTAATTTCTTGAATAATGGCAAGACTATTCAAGAATTTTTTAAATATTTTAACATAAAATCTGCTGTGAGCATTGCAAGATCATGGCAAGATGTGCCTCCAGATACTTTAAAAAATGCTAGGCATAATTCATAAAAATAAATGTTCACATATAAAACTACAGAGCTTAAAATTACTCTAGCGGAATTTACTGTTTTATTTTATTTTAAACTCTAGCGGAATTTACTGTTTTATTTATTTGTTTTATTTATTTTAAATTTATGAATAATTTTTAATTTTTATGTACAACCACACAAAGTAATGACTTCTAAAGAATGCAGTACAGTTATGTTTTTAAAGAAAAGGATGACTATGGCCTCACTAATTGGTAGAATAAGAGAACTATACATTGACAAAATTGTATGCTATCGGCAGAACCGAATTTAGATTCGACGAGATCCTAAGCTATTTGAGCTATGGGGGCCCTTTATGAGGGATACGAGTCAATATTTTTTATATATGATATGGTACAATTTTTGAGGGTGGCCCAAGAAAGTGGGGGCTTTGTGCAGCTTATACATAAATCCAGCACTGGCCATAGGAGACAGACGGAATACTTTAAAGAAAAACAAATATTACATTTCTTCTTTGATTCTTTTCTATAGTACAATTTCGTTTAGCAGTTGCAATTTAAAAACTTTTCTTTTAATTATTCGAGAGGAGTCATCTGTATTCTTATTTCCATGACTGCTGGGTGGGATATTCAGACTTTCCTGCACTTTTTCTGAGTAAGTTTACATTTTCTCTAACTTCGTATGACTCTTCACACATTTCCAGATGAATGGGAGTCAGGAAGTGTTGCACAACTAGCAATAAGTAGAGATATTTTTCCCAAAACAAAAGACAATGGCAATGAGAAACCATATTAATGATAATGCCTATGCTATAGATCATTAGAACTTAGCCACATTTACAATAAGTAATACCTATGAGCAACTTAAAATTTCAATATCCCTTAAAGCATTAATCCTAAACTTCAGAGAAAGTTTCAAATTAGTAAAATACGAGGGCCATCCAGGAAGTAGATTACGTTTCCGTCTGTGTCCGCTAGGGGCGGGGCTAGCGCGGCCATCTTGGGGTCAGAGCGTTGCGCAGCTCAGTCTGCATCTAGCCGTGCTAGTGAGAGGTTCGTGCTGTGCTCCGTTCAGATACTGTGACGGTTTGAAATGTCTGCGTTAATTGAAAATCCCGCGAGCTGCGAGGTGCGCTCAGTAATAAGGTTTCTGACTGCAAAAAACTGTAAACCGATAGAAATCTATCGGCAGCTTCGTGAAGTGTATGGGGACAACATTATCACTGAAGGTGGAGTGCATCAGTGGGTCATAAGATTTCAAAATGGCCGAACCAATGTTCACGATGAAGATCGAAGTGGGAGACCCAGCATAGTGACCGCCGAACTTCTCGAAAAAGTCGATGCTAAAGTCCGTGAAAACCGAAATTTCACAATAACGGAACTTTCTTTGAGTTTTCCACAAATTTCGCAAAGTTTGTTGCACGAAATCATCAGCGAAAAGCTTGGTTACCACAAGTTTTGTGCAAGATGGATTCCAAAAATCTTGACAGAGGACCACAAAAATCAGCGAATGGCTGCAGCGTTGAACTTTTTGGACGCTTACCATAAGGATGGTGACTCTTTACTCGATCGCATCGTTACTGGTGACGAAACATGGGTGAAACATGTGAACTGTGAAACGAAATTGCAATCAATGCAGTGGGAGCACACAAGTTCTCCCCAAAAACCCAAGAAATGCATGCAAACAATGTCGGCAAGGAAGATGATGGCGACTGTTTTTTGGGACAGAAAAGGTGTAATTTTGGTGGACTTGCTGGAAAGAGGCACTACAATAAACTCTCAAAGGTATTGCCAAACTCTCCAAAAACTCAGAAGAGCAATTCAAAACAAGCGCAGAGGAATGTTGAGCTCTAAGATCTTGTTGATTCACGACAACGCCCGGCCCCACACGGCAAATGTCACTCGTAAAGTTCTTGAATCTTTTAAGTGGGAGTTGTTTTCCTCATCCGCCGTACAGTCCCGACCTGGCACCGAGCGACTTCCACCTATTCCCAGCAATGAAGAAGTGGCTGGCTATGCAGCGTTTTGATGACGACGCACAGCTGCAAGAAGAGGTAACGAAGTGGTTGAAGGCGCAGGCGGCCGAATTTTTCGACGAAGGAATTTCCAAGCTCGTACATCGCTACGATAAATGCCTTAATTTGTATGGTGACTATGTAGAAAAGTAGTATTTGAGTGTGGCTTTCATCTGTATATAATAAAATTTGTTTCCTATACTTTGTTTATTTTTTTATTCCAAAACGTAATCTACTTTCTGGATAGCCCTCGTATATGAAGGCAATACCGATGGGATTACCTAATGGACACAACTATGCAAAAGACACCCAATTCAATCTGCACAGCATGAAGAAACACAGGCCAAACTTTAAAAATCCATGCTGCATTTCTCTTAATTTATATACATCAAAGTATATCCAGATTAAAGGTTACATCCATTACAAAGGTTACATGTTTATAAAATTTCAACTTTGAAATTTTCTCCTGTGCTCTTACTTTTTTCAATGCTGCATAAAAATATACATGAGTTTAGGAAATCAGCAAAATCTCTCCCATAATCTTTATCTCAAATGAGACTTGAAAAAAAAAAAAAAAAACCTGGAAAATCTAAAAAGACAAAACTAAACTATATTACAGATTTATGAAACTAATATTTCTAAAAGCAAATCAATAGTTGAAAGAGTAATGTGGTGCTTGACGCATAAAAAACTTAATGTACTTTTAAGTAAAGATTATAGTTTCATTGTACTTAACTAAAGACTATATTTTATACTTTCATTTGAATACTTTGTTAATTAAGCAAAATATTCTTTTAAGTCATATATAGAATAAAAAATCACATGAAAATGTGATCTTCAGAGTAAATGTTTTAATTTTGCAGCTACTTATAGATAAACAAAGATTACACAAATTTTATTTGTAATTAGTATACAGAATCTTTAAAATCGAGAATACCTTTTTCCCTGAAAGTGAAATTTCTGTGTTTTGAAAAAAGTTGTCATACATCAAAATTTTTAAAATAACAACATTCAATAGTTTTGTAGAAAATGGAGACGTTTATCTTGAAATTCATTCGATGTTAATTAAAATTGCTTGCACTATTCAAAATACTGAAAATCAGTCACTTTGATACATATGAAATCATTCCACTGTTCTATATAAATTAAATAGTAAACTGACATAAAGAACAAAAATATATGATAAAATTCTTTTACCTGTGATAGTTCATCTTTCTCTCTGACTAGACGTCGCAGATGTTGTATTAACAGACTGTACATGTGCTCTTGATCTTCAGGAGGAATAAGACTCAATTCCATCCATTCACTGGTCCAAACGGCTTCTGGATTATCAGTAATCTATGTTTACAAAATTAGAAAATAATAAATTCTGTGATTTAGATTACTGTAGTTAGACACACCTCTCATAAAAACTAAATATTATTAATGAGTTAGTATTCTAAAATTACAAGTGAAAAATAATTTTTAAGGATAGCAACAGGATGAACTTCTATCTGTCTAATTTCTTCTTAAAATGTGCTTGCTACTTCTTAAGAGATATCAAAATGTGATATCATATAAAAATGAATTAATAGCTGACACTAAGAACAATTAGCCTTCCTTATTAAGTATTAAAAGCCTAGCAGCACAACAAGTTCGGGGTTCGATTCCACAGTCAAGAAAGCAGATTTTGGGCACTGCAGGGCTTGGCCCATTTGGGCTGTTATGTCACCGAGTTTAGTTTAATTTACTAGGTATAAATTATCCATCAAGGTTTATGAAATACATAACCATATTTGAATTTTATGGTCATTAATTTAAACTAAAAAAATAGTACAATTCCTACAAGGACAATTTTTTTTAAGTAACTTAATCATCTGTAAAAGTTTTTGGCTTGTCATAAAGTTGTTTTAACAAACTTCAGAAAATTAATAACCACTTTCATAATGTTTACCCCTAAAATAAAATAAAAATTTCACTATTCACATCCATATGAGTTTATCTTCATATGGTAATAAGTAACACAGCTATAGAACACACTATAACTTCACAGCTATAGAAGTAACATTCAAATATGTTAAATTGATAGATTCCACTCTGCATAATTAGTTCATCTTTAAGAAAATGAAAATTTACTAATCATGTATATTAATGTTGGATGTAGTTTGCTCAAATGAATTTTGAATTTCAAAAATCTTTATAGTTCCAACAGAAATATTTTCATCAAAGTGAAAACACTAACACATAATATTATTAAAATTTCTTCTCTATTTTAAATTCCATCTACATGCATCATGCTTTAAATTATGACAACATAAAAAAAAACAATTTAATAATTCTTTTGTAAAATTTCATTTCAGGATTCAAATTCTTCATGCTTAAAATTCTGAATCATGAAAATTTAAAATCACTTTACCCCAAAAACATATCAATAATTTAACATGTTAAGACATTTCAAAATCAAGCATATCATAACCTCAAAATCACATTTAACCCTCTGAACAGTATGGGTTTTTGGATCTATCATGAAGATCTATATTTACACAGCTTTTATTAGATAAATTTGTATAGTCTATATTTTCATAAATCTACATTTATTAAGATGACATTTATGTTATTAAAGAAAGTAAGAAATCAAAATATCTTAAATTATAAGCTAATATATATCAAGTGACAAAAAAAATCTCATGCGCGGATAAAGCCGGTCACGGCATTCACAGGGTTAAAAATTTAAATTAGTATGAGGGTATATCAAACACTGTGATAATCAAATACAAATTATTAATAAATATACCCATTATAAATATGAATTATTAATTATGGATAAATATTGTTACTCATGTATATATTAATGATTAAAAATAAAATATAAATTAAAGGTACAAATAAGAAATAATGGTACTTTTCCGTTTCGCTGGCGCAAATCTTGCCAAGCAGACTTTATTGGTGACAGCATACACATAAAAAAATGTTAACAAATGTTAGTTCTAAAAAATTTTTATTTTGAATGCATAAACATTTTAATATTGTTTAAAATTTTGTAAAAAGCCAATAAACAAAGACAATAAATTTGTAAAAAGACATTAATTTAATAATTTACTATGCTTTCATATTTCAACATCCTGATTCGCCGGTTCATATCACATGATCGTAAGTGATCTCATCTCACGTCAACTATACTAAAAAATCTAATTCTCTCAGTAATTATCTACATTAATTTCAAGTTAAATCTTAATTTGGAATACAAGTTTAAATGCAAGAATTATTTCAATTCATACAAATAGCTTACTCAGAAATTATGTAAAACCGCAGTGCTTTACTTTGCTAGTACATTCTCATTAAGAATGGATGAATTTAACCCAACTTTGCCGTTTCTATATTTTCGCCTTCGGATGAGCGGTGTGATTGCATCCTAATTGACTTAATTACCGCGAATGGCCTTAGGGCATAAAATTTAACTATCTGGTAAAATTTCTATGTAATTATATGCCAGTATTGAAAGAAGCAATCAATCTAATAAGAAATGGCTGCGAATTGTTTTGAAAATGAGGCGTAAAAGGTTACCAGCAAGGATATTACGTTTGGCATCAGTTGTACTATTATTGGCGAATTTATCGCCTGCGCCAGCAAAACGGAGAAGTACCGAAATTACATAATTGTGGATTATAAACACATTTATCATTTGGTCTAAGATGTAGATATTGACCATTTGACACTTTTTATCAAAAAGTATTTGAAGAGTGCTGTGGTGGGTGGAAGCCTGGTTCAGACAAAAGGAAAAGGAGCTATTGGTTCATTTAAAGTTAGCTCATCCGTTCAGAAAGGTAAATGAACTGAGTTGTAAAAAACTGACATAGAAGTAAGTGTTAAAATAATTTTGACTGGATCTAAAAATAATTTTGATCCCCTCCCTAAAGATGACCACCCATAGTTACAAATAATTTTGGTCTTTTGCAAAAGTTGTTGCATTGGAGAAATAATGTTCAGGTCTGCATGTTTGCCTAAGTTCTCAGAAATGCTGGTTGTTCTCACGGTGATCATCTGTAAGAGATTTTTATTAAATTTTAAATATTAGTGTTTACTTTTAAAATAAAGCAGCTTCTTGAAGTTCGCTGTGTACTGAATTATGAAACAATAATCATATTTAATGAAAAATCCAAGTTTATTAAAAGCATCAAACTAAAATTTAGGAAAGCTTTAGCTTTATTTTATTACCTAAATATATATGTGTGTGTGTAATGAAGTAAATTTAGAAGTAATGATATAGGAATCTTGATTGTGTCGATATTGAAGATGTTGCATTTTGCAGGTGGGGACTAGTAATAAACAGCAAATTGAGCAGCTGGAGGTAAGTAAATCAATGCACAAAGCAAGCAGTGAAAGCAAGAACAAAGCCATGAGCAACCAGTTTTCTGCAAAAGATGTCAAACTCTCCTGCTCAGGCCATCTAACCACAGCCAGATTTAGACTTGATAAGGCCCTAAGTTATTTGGGCTATGGGGCCCTTTATATTATACTATATTTATAGTTTATTTTAATTTTGGGGGGCCCTTAAGAAAGTGGGGACCCTAAGCTACAGCTTGTGTAGCTTATACATAAATCTTGTATTGCTTGTAACTACCTAGAAGGTGTTGCCATTACACAGTCCTGCTCTCTCTCATATAGTAACTACTAAGGTCCTCTCTGATGTCATTTTGAACATTTTCTATTGGCAAATTACACACCTTAATTCAGTTTCAATGCAAATTTAATTCCCACACAGCTATAGAAGTAATGTTCAAATATGTTAAATTGATAGATTAACTTTGTTAAATTGATAGTAACTCTGTACCATCTGAAAAACTACATCAAGCTTAGATACTTAATCAACTTATACTTTATTGATCAAAAAGATCAATAACCTTTACATACAGGTAAAAAAAAAAAAAAAAAAAAAAATTCTTAAAACTGAATCATAATATTATATTATTTAATACTTTAAGAATAGTTTAAATAAAGATTAAAATCAATTGCATAAAATATATAAAATAAATGCCAAAGCATATTATTAAAGAAAAAACTTTAATAAGTCAAATTCATAAAATTACATACTTGCTGTATGTAGTCCACTATTTTATGCTGTATTTCAAGATCCATAGACTTAATAACTTCAATAAAATGTTCTTTCCTTTCACACTGAACAGCACATCCCAAAATCAAGAGCAATAAGCTTTCCATTTCACTAATGCTGGAATCTATACAGCAAAAATTTTAAAAGCAAGACTTAAAAACAGAAAAATGGCTTTTGTTTTGAGTATCATGTGAAGTTATACTAGTGGATATCTGCAGCCTACCAATAAGTTACAAAAAAGTATTTAAAAAAAGTATTTGTGAGGCAAAGTTATGTGATAACTTACGATGTTACTAAAAAATATTTATACGGCAACCTTGTATGCAGGTGGCACATGTCCATTTCAACCAGTGCCCAATGCCAAGTCTGTGTAATTCTCTGAAGTTTTTTTAAGGAGAAAGCAGATCATTGTATCCACAATAAGAAAACAGCCCCCCCCCAAAAAAAATACAGAAGGATTTCTCAATAAGATATGAATTTTATTACTGACGTTTCTTGCTTTTTAATGTTATTGATCAACTGCTTTTGTACGCAATTCATATTGAGCAGCCATTTTGAAAAAGGCTGTTGCCTTTTGTGCATTAGGTTGCCAAAAAATTAGCAGCCTACGAGTTCATGAATGCCCTACAAAGACCACAATGAGTTTGTAAATTTTTGGTGGGGGTGCAGATTCTCAGAAAATACCGTAAATAGTTAAAAAATATGCAATAATGAATACAAAACTAAATAATGAAGGATCATGGAAATACATAGAAATAATAAACTCTAAGTCAAGTTACACAAAATATACACATGCTTGAAAAAATGTGTTTAATTTATAACTGATACATCTGTATATGCAATAAAGGGAAAAAGAAGATTTCTCTTAAGTAAAACAAAACCATATTATTAAATTTCTTAATGTGAAAACTGATCAGTTAGTATTTATAATACAGTCAAAAGTCTTTAATCCGGACTCGTCGGGACTTCGGCGATTCCAGATTATCGATTTTTCCGGATTATAGATCATCAGTTTAAATCTGGTAAGATGGCATGCAGAAATTATAAAATTAAAAATATGAAACCGTAATTTATAAAATAATGAGTAATTATGATCTAAAGGGTATCAAAATTTACAAAAAAAGAAGCTTAATATTTATTTGTTTACTTTATTAAACATTTCTTTCAACACGCACATGCATAAAGCATACCTAACGCATAGCCAAAATTAGAAAATTGCAACCAGAAAACTATTTGATTTGTATTCGTGATATTTATAATGATGAGGGATTTGATTTAATTATCTATTTTTTGTAGCAATTCGTTTTTTGTTTGATGGACCATCGAAACATACTTTCGTTTTCTAGATCCCTTGGGAGCTCCAGCATTGGAAATTCTATTTGACATAATCAAAAGTTCAAGCTTACTTTTATAAAATTGCTCTTACAGTCTGCAAAAATAATAAGCCGATCCAATCGAAGATTAAGGAACAACGCAATCATCAACATTAACTGAAATAGATAATTAGATAATTTTAGCTTATACCGTCCGTTATACATTAAACGCGCACGCGAAAACATATTCTGTGCTTGCGCAGATGCATATGCGCAGTCGTAAATGTCTTGCGCACACGCGTAAAACGCCTATGCGCAAGCGTCAACGCGCCGCATGCGCAGAAAGATTTTAGGTTTGAGGTCCGGATTATGGGTGTCCGAATTAACGACTTTTGACTGTATAAAACAAAATAATAATGACTATTTTCAGTAAATTGATATTATAACTGAAATAAATCTAAACACCTTAAATACATTATATATGCTTAAAATAAAATGCCAAAATTATATTTATAAAAAATCAAGTTTTTGAGTTTTTATAATACAAACTCATGCAAAATAATCATTAACCATCACAGTCAATTTCTGTTAATGGAAATATTAAAAGATATATGTTTTCCCAATGTAAGGCTAGAAGATGCATATGGCTTTCAGAAGAGTATTTTACAACAGGAAAAATTTTCTTTATATTTAGATTACTGTAATAATTTTGGTGATTGGAAGAATATGATTGCATTTAATTGTTTCCTTCTGAAAGTGACACTGCCTTTTGAAAGATAAGGATTTAACCCTTTAGTGGTAGTAACATTAAGCAGTTCCTTCTTCCCAAATACATATCTGTCAGCCTTAAATTTGAATTTGTTTCTGCCCACTGCAGTGCATAGCTAGAACGACAGCCGAGCTTGTCGATGATCACTGAAAGTTTAAGACTTTTACTGGAAATTAATACTAATTTAAATTTGAATTTTACTATTTATATACTCCTTACTTTGATTTTACATAAAATATATTTATGCAATGATAAGAAAACTAAAATAGATCACAGCTATCATATGAAAGAAAAAATAATGTAAATTAACTTAATTAACATGCTTACTGCCAAGGAACTTTTCGTGATTCCAGACTAAAAAGCCAATTTTGATCTCGTAGTTGCTGTATGTAACAAAAGTCTCTTTGAAAAAGCCAACTGCAAGATAATTCATGCACAGAAACACTTCAACCTGTCACTTTGCTAGAGCTGAGTCAGAAACTATGTATAAATCCATTAGTAATATTAGAGATAGAGTACCGAGCACATCACAATTGTCTTCCTTGTGTGTGTTATTTTATAACCAATATGGATAGGAAAACACCACTTAGTGAAAAATAAATTAGGTACTACGCTAATAATCTAAGTCATCCAGAACTTTACGAAAGAGTTAGCGAGGATGGTAATGACAATAATAGCAATTGCATACCTCCTGAGAATTCAAGTGAGGACAGTGATGATGAAATCATCTCCAAACCTGAAAATAAGATGATTCTTGAACCTAAAGACAGGCACCATGCTCTTCAAGAAACCACTCCAAATATGAATGATAATTTGTGGACAGAAAATTGCTAAATTCCCAAACTATTTATTTTCCAAGAAAATATTGATTTGAAGTTAGATACAACAAATCTTATAGTCCAAACACTGGTAGACTTATTTTTTTCTCGAAAATTTCTTGCATTATTGGATGAACAAATGAATTTATACACTGTATAAGAAATTGGAAAACATAAATAAAAAAAATAAAATTAAATTAAATTTAAAAAAAAAAAAAAACTCTATGAGGTTATCCCAGTGGAAAGATGTTAGCACTGCAGAAATGAAAGTTTTTCTTGGACTTTTTGGTTAATCTTTGGATTATGGTAACTTGGCAATTTTTTGGCGAAAATTTGGCGACCAACCTTGCTACAGCAACCTGCTAGTTTTTGTTTGGATGCCATTTTGTTTTCACAAAGTAAAGGCATTTTTTTTTTTTGTTTTTTTTTTTTCCCCTTCTCCAACAATCTGCTAGCCGAATTATGCTTAGGCTAGAACTTTTATGGAACAAAAGTGCTTAATCATGACGAAGATTAGGTGCGAAATTGGGAGAAAGTGCAGAATCGCAAACTGCTTGTCGCGTTTTTAAGAATTCCACATACACGGTATCCATGTACACGTCAACCTATTTTCACTTAAAAAAACATCCCAGAATTGCACAAAAATGGCATTGCACACACTCTTGACTTTATCCATGTACACTGCTAAAGTCCTAGCTAGTACACCTTTATCGCCTTACCAAAATGTACTAACTACCTGTTACCATATTCCAAACTACCTGTTACCATATTCCAAACTACCTGTTACCATTTTCCAAAGATTAGCCAACTTTTGTTACAAATGGGCCCTTGCTTTTTTCCTTCAACAGAACATTACTGGAGTAGACACAAAATGTATAATGTAATGTTTTCGTGATCATGTACAAGTCGAAATAGATTTCAATTGTTATTGGAGTATTTTCACTTCGGTGATAACTCAATACCATTTTAGATGCAAGGTGCGACCTATACTAAATCATTTCAATGATAGTATGCGCCAAATAAAAATATTTGTATCGACAAATCAATGCTGTGTCACGTGGAAGAGTGCATTTCCAGCTGTACACAAAAAATAAAAAGCACAAATACAGTGTCAGGCTGTATGTGCTATGTGAATCCTATGGTGGTATTATGAAAATAAAAGTTTACCATGGAAAATATGAGGAATCTAGTAATAATTTAGGTCATACTACTGATGTCTTACACTTACTTGAGAACTATCTCGATAAGGGCTATATAATATACATGGATAATTTTTATAATTCTGTTGCTCTTAATTCTGCTTACAAAATGACAAACCACACAAAAAACTTATGCGTGTGGAATTCTATGAAATAATAGAAAGAGGAATCCCAGAGATGTGGTAAATCAAAAACTAAAAAATAAAAAGAGAGAGAGGAGGGTCCCCCCCCCCCAGCAAAATGGTCCTCTTACTGTATGCAAATGGAAAGACAAGCAAGGTGTCTTTCCATTTCAAATATGCATGTTGTTGAAATGGTAGAGGTCTCTAATTGCAATGAAACTGAATATAATTCAGGACTTCAGCCTAGCAATGTCTAGCATTGGTTGATAAGATCCAATGCTGTCATACTACACATCTCTAAGAAAGACTATTAGATGAACTAAAAGATTGTTTTACATATTATGGAGACATATATATGTAATGTGCACAACTTTTTCAAAAAACAACTTCTTTTAAAATAAAACTTATAAAGTTTAGACAAGCATTTGTCAACTCCTTGATTGGAGAAGAGTTTGAACAAGTATTTACGTTTCATTATTTACAGAGTATTCCACCAACCAAAAAAAAACTGTGCCATGCAAAGCCATGTTGAGTTTGTAACAAAGCTAAAAAATGCTGCCAAACACATTACTTTTGTCCAGTTTGCCAAGAGAAGCCAGTACTTTGTGTAGAAGACTATTTTAAAAATTTTCACAAACCATACAAATGTTATTCTGCTTGAATAAACTTGTATACACTTTTTCTTTTTGAAAAAACTTTGTATAATTGTATTTTCTGTTCACTAAAGACAAATCTGACTTTTTTCTTCTCTTTCCTGAGGCCATCTATTCATACTTACAATGTTATACTACAACTTTCCTCGTAGCAGTACAAATATGGCAAGTAATGAAGTAACGAAATAACTTGTAGTTGGCATCCTGGAAAAGTAAACAACCTACAAGATATCTTGTAGTTGGCAGTCAACATGTTAAATCTGTATATTTAATTGATGTACCAGTCCTACTGCAAAGGATAATACAAACTCATATAAAAAAAAATTTCTGAAAAGCAGAAACTCATCACTAAAGAAAATGTAAAACTTACGTTCATCATGCAGTTTTGCCAAGGTGAGAATATCAGGAATCTTTGTCAACAATAACTGACCAAGAACTTCCTATAAGATAAATATACTTAAATTTATAAAATGACCAAAAATATCATAAATACATGTCACTTTAATTATATCCCTATAAATTTCATCATTTTAAGAGTTCATGATGTATTTAAAATAAATATATTGATGAATATTTCACAAAATTTTTTATTCAAATTAAAGCATAATAATCTTCCAAAAATATATTCAGTCACAAACTCAAGTTATCTTTTAAATACATTTGCTTTACTGCAGATATTAGGATACACAGAAAATGAGAGAAATCTTACTTTAACATAATTCAATTAATCAAAAAACACATTATCATCATCTGAATAAATCGAGTGATTGAAAATGTCATTTATGAAATTAGTCAATTTCTTCCAAAGTTTAGCACAGTTAAACAAGAAATCTAGAAAAGCAGAGTATTAATATATAAATTTGGTTAGCCTATATTTAAGGATGCCACTTGGATTATTGCCAAGTCGTTGTTTTATTTATGGTAACCTGAATAGTTGAATGTTATTGAAACCCTATTATGACGTAATTGGTAGTATGATTGTCGTGAATTTAACTGATGGGAAAAAATTTGTAAGGACTGTTCATGTGTTGGATGTTGATTAGGAAGTACGTTGCTTATTTTGTGGTTTACATGGAAAATGGCTGAACAATTTGAAATTACAATTTGGAATGAAAGGGGGGGAAAGCATTTATTGACTGGTGTGTAAATGAAAGTTTACTTAGTAGCCATTACAAGTGCCCTGTTTGTACGAAGGAAATGTGTATGGTCAAACGTAAAGATCGTTCATATGGCTTTAAATGGGTTTGTCGCAAGAAAGGTTCAAATGGTCACCACATAAAGTGTCCCATTAGAAAGAGAACAGGGTTTGAGGAAAGTTTTTTTGGATGCTGTTAAGGAATTTTGTGTGCTACAGACTAAAGACAGAGAAATTTCTAAATAAGGTAAGTGGATATTTCTTTTGTTTAGTGTGTAGACGCAACACTAGTGTTTTTTTTTTCTTTCTGTTATTTCATTATTCGATTTAAAATTCAGTTTATTGAGATTATATATTTTTGTCTGGCTCTAGTGTAGAATTGGGTGCTCCTTCGATTTTTAAGCGAAAATAGATCAATGTGTGCATGAATAAAGTCAAGTCAGTGTGCAGTGCCAAGTTTGTACAAATGTCTGATTTTTTTTTTTTTGAGTGAAAATAGATTGATGTGTACATGGATACCGAGTTTATGCAATTTTTTGACTTGCCAAAAATCGCAGCTACACAAAGCCAAAATAACAAGAATTGCCCAAACTTGGTGTCCATGTACTGCAAAAAATCACAAATTTTCACCAAGGGGCACCCCTAAATACATTTTTACCTATAAATTTTATTTCTAGCAACACATCACATACTTTTTGCCTTTTTACAACTAAATGCTAAATTTCATCATCAAATGAAAATAAATATGTTAGAACTACATGTTTTTCAGTATTTTATAAAAATATAAAATGATATATTTTTAACAAATAATGAAAAAAAAAAACCTTTTTTAAGGAAAAGCAACAGTAGTATAATATAGAATTTATTATAAAAGCAAAGTATAAAACAGTTTAACCCTCTGAACGACATGGGTTTTCAGACCTGTCATGAGGACTTGTATTTCAAACAGCATTTATTAGGTAAATTTCTAAAATTATTTATTTAGTCTCTATTTTCATAAACTTACATTCATTAGGATGACATTTACATTATTAAAAAAAGCAAGAAAACAAAATATTTAAAATTATTAGTTAACATATACCAAGTGACAAAAAAATCCCATGAATGGATAAAGTCAGTTAGTTATGTTGCTCAGAGATTTAAAAGAACATATATTTGTAGCATAAAAATAAACATGAAAATAACTATACCTCATAAAAAGCTTTTATGTTATGAAGTAGAACATCTAAGTTTCGTATACGAGTTGCAAGATCATCAGTTGATGAGTTAATTCCATGGTAAGGAGGATGAGGATCACTGCAAAATTACAAACTTTTTAAAACTTACATAAAATACTTAAAATAATATCTTTGATTAGAATTTTCTGAAGTTTTTACTAGGTTATATAAATTTTATATGACAGTGCCAATAAGAGAATTGTACATAAAAACAAAAACTTTTAAGCCATGAGATACACAAGGTATACCATTTCACAAATTTTATTTTATTAATATTACAAAAAAAAAAAAAAAAAGTTAACTTTTAGACAAAAGTCCTAAGAAAGAAAACTATAACAGTACCATTGCATAAGATAAACTCATATTTGCACAATTAACTCATAAACTATAAGTTTCAGTGCTTCTGATATTAATTATACAATAATTTTGGCTTTCGTACAAAAAAAAATAAATAAAAGAGAAAATAATTAGATTCTTTAAATATATTCATTTTACCATAAAAATATATTAAAGAGCCCTTCAATTTAGTTTGTCAACTCTGCTTAAAAATTCTGCATAATGCATACTGATAAAATACATGCTTACATTTCTAGCCAAATATTATACAGAAAAACTCCATCACACAGACACCTGTACTCGAGTACTTTTTTTTCTTCATCTTGAAATGTCTTAGCCTATAAAGAATTAATATATTTGATTGAATAATATATAATTAATATTCATATTGCATGTTTGTTATTTTATCACAAAATTTGAAAATCTGTGTTGAAGAACCATATTTTTCTTAGCATACATATAATTAAAATATAAATTATAAAATTTCAAACTGGGAAAAGAGAAAAAAATAAATAACTGGTAAAATTTGTTGTCAATGCACAAATTTAATTTAAACTGCAATCAAGAAGACTCAAAGCCCTTTTTATGAATATTATGCACTCATCCTCAAAAGCAAAATTTATCCTCTATGTATACAGCTGAAGAGTTTTTGAAACTTCACAATAAACTGACACTGAAGTATAGTATTTAATCGGATATGGATTATTCAATTAAATTCTACGCTCTATTGGAATCAGTGATGAGAATTTTAATAAGGAGTTTGCATTTTCTCTTATAAAAAATATATTAAATTCCAATTAAATGTTTTATTTTTTACAAAAAAGAAAATATAAACAGTTTTGCTTAAATCAGAAAACACTTTAATAAAGAACTTTTTAATTTTTTTAAAATAATAATTAATGCATTATTAAAGAAATTGCACAAAATTAAAAAAAAAAAAACCCACTAAATTAATGCAGAGCAGTTCATGCCCAAATACAGGTTATTTTCTATTACAGATTATTTTCTTCTTCATTCATATGAGTTCATCTTCTACGAAGTTCTAAGACAAAATTACGTGTTTTCGAAAAGTTTTAGAGTTGAGGATTAAATTCTCTTAATGGCTTCCCATTTTAGAAGACTATTATTACTAAATCTCATCTATGTTATAGTCAAGGAAAATCATATCTTTCATCTTTTAACAAAAAATTAAACAACTGGACTTTATCCCAATTTGTCTTGACTGCTGATCTTTAGAATATGGTAACCGGTAGTTTGGCGACATTTTGGAGGCGATAAAGGTTACTTACTACCTGGGACTTTGGTAATAATGAGAACAGTACTCAGTTCCGATTACGCATTATTTTGTGGAGGGAAATGAGAGATCATGGGATATGTCCTGTGATATTAATGGAACACTTACGGTTCTTTAATCGGAAAAGGGGGGAATTGGAAAATTATGTGGCTGTATATTATTTTGTATTAAGCTTCATTGTGTGTTGTGTGAAGTAGGGTTGAATAATTTTGGGATTGTATGGTGTTGTCTAAAGTGAATTCTAGATTTTTAATGCGTTTGTGTGATAATTCAAAAGAATTGGTTGAATGGTGCATGAGCGTAGGTTTCGCAGAAAAAATCGTTCAATAATTTTATTGAATCCATAATAAAAGTGTATCCACCATGTAAGCAAGATTCTGAAGAAGATTATTTGAGGATATTATTTTTACGCATTGTTCTAAATGTAAGGTGGAAGTAAAGTAATTTGGTATTATTGGGAAAATTGTTATTAGCAATGATTTAGTTTAAAGTAATTAGGATTGTAAGCTAATTTTTATTAATTTAATGTATGTGCTTATTTATATTTTAAGTAGTGTTTTTGAATTAAATTATATTTAATTAATGATAGTTATTTGTGAATTTTATTTTTGTAGGAATTGGTATACGTTTAGTTGAAGTAAACGTGCATGGAAATAATTTAAATATTTGACACTAAGTATTTGTATGGTTGCGGTATGAATTCGTTGGTGACATTTATAATATAATAGATGATTTAGAGGTAAAAGTTTTTGGATATTTTATTTATTTATATGTGGAAATGTTCATATTTGGAAAGGGTATATACTTTTTCGTGATCAGGTAATTTCATATATGTTCTTTTTACCGGGTTTAAAGATTCAGAAAATTGTCATGTATTTTCGTGAAATTTTTCTAATTTATGAGAAAAAAGCAGTGTACATGGATATAGTGAAGAGTACACACAATGCCATTTTTGTGTAATTCTGGGATGTTTTTTTAAGTAAAAATAAGTCGACGTGTACATGGTTTATGTGTATGTGTTATTTTGAAAACGCATAAGGAGTATGGTATTGTGCACTTTTTCCCAATTTTGCAGTGAATATTTGTCATGATTAAGCAGTTTTGTTAGATAAAATTTCCAGCATAAGTGTAATTCGGCTAGTAGATTGTTGGAAGAAGTGTTCAGTAGATAAAAAGAAAAGAAACATGTCTTTACTTCGTGAAGACAAAATGGCGGCGGGAAAAAAAAAATAGAGGGTTGCTGTAGGAGAGGTGGTCGTCAAATTTTCGCCAAAATCGCCAAGTTACCATAATCTAAAGATCAACCGTCTTGACATAACAGTTTAACACCCAACAATAAATCGTTTGAAAACAACCAATATTTTCCAGAACCTATTTAAATCTTACCTATCTACAATGCATTTAGACTTAATTCTGGCATACAACACACACGGTTTTCTTGGAATAAAACAAACAAAATGAATAAGACTCTCGCAAATTATGAGACAAATTTAATAAAGCACTCGCACAAACCTCTTGCAGCTCAGCACTGATTACTATCTACTTTCTTAATTAAATAGGTCTCATTTCTGATCACATAATTTTAGGGATAGAGTAGACTTTAAGGTACCCCTTGTATTATGGCGAAGTTGTTGTTTAATTTATCGCCAAGTTGTTTCATTTATGGTAGCCTGACTAATTGAATGTTATGGAAACCCTATTGTAATGTAATCGGATGCATGATTCTGGGAAATTTTGAATCATGGGATATTTTGTAAGCGTTTTTGCGGTGTGTGTTAAAACCGTTTAGATGGATTTGAATGGGTTTGTAGAAAGAAAGGTTCAGATGGTCACTATGTGAAGCATTCGATCAGAAAGAGTACCTGGTTTGAAAAAAGTCATTTGAGTATGATTGATATTTTGATTTTTACGTGGCTCTGGGTGTACGAAGCGAACTCGAAAATCATGGTAAGTGACTATTTGCTTTTGGTAGTGCTTAAATGCATAACATGTTTTTCCTTTTTTATGTTATTTTATTGTTAGGTTTAAAATGTATTTGATTGAGGTTATGTATTTTTAGTTTGCCTATATTGTAGAATTTGGTGCTCCTTTGACTTTTTAAGTGAAAAATATATTGATGTGTACATGGACAAAGTAAAGGGAGTGCGCAATGCAAGTTCGTGCCAATTCTGGGATATTTTTTAAAAATAGGTCGACGTGTACATGGATAAAGTCAAAGGAGTGCGCAATGCCATTTTTGTGCAATTCAGGGTTTTTTTAAAGTGAAAATAAGTCGATGTGTACATGGATACCGAGTTTGTGCAATTGTTTGTCTTGTTATTTTGGCTTTGTGTAGTTGGTTTTGGCAAAAATCGCCGCTTTGCAAGACAAAATAACGAGTCAAAGAATTGCACAAAATCAGTATCCATGTACCGCCAAAAATCGGCAAGTTTCGCCAAGGAGTACCCTAAACTATACTTTTACCAATTTTAATCTCAATTGCAATATCGTGCAATGTTTTTTTATTGTTCTTAAACATAAGTTTTTAAATTTCTTATATTATCACAATTAAATGCCGAAAAACTGGAACTTTAAAAGAGCTGAAATCTTAAATGCACATTAATCTTTCTTTTACACTATACATTATTAATCATAATGTTAAAGTATTTTTAATGTTCACAGCTGACTTGCTCAGTAAAAGCTGAAACACTCTGGATAAAGCTTTGTTTTAATTTTGTATGCTGAAATCACACACAGTTGAAAAATAGACAGTCCTGTTCCATACAATAAGTCTATTTCAAAATTATAACCTATCAACATACATGAATCTTCAATAAAAATTTTTCTGTCTTTTAATGGTAATAATAAGCTTCAACATGTTTGAAAATAAAGCATTTGTTTAATTTTTAATTTTACTTTAACACTAGAATGGTGGTAGGGGTCATTTTGACACCTGAACACTTTTGACCATTGATTACTTTTGTTTTATTGGAAGAAATCGTTTGGAATTTTTTGACTTTTTCTAAACAGATAACAAATATTTGTAAACAAAATTTCATCATTCTAGGTTTGTTAGTTTTTGAAATATTGGCATGTATTCTTAAAACAGCGGACGGGGGTCATTTTGACGCCTTTACTTTTATTCCTCTTTCTGTTCGAGGCATTGTCAAATAACTCATGAAAAACATTCACTGATAAGGATTTTTCGATTGCATTCATACCATCTCCCAGAGGGATAAAAATCTGGGTGGTCTCACTACTTTGTAATGTCTAAGTAAGTTGTTCTTCCTTTGTTTGCAATAATCTATTCATTTGAAGAAAATACTGCAAGGAAGGTAGATGCAGGATTTTTCATGCTTACATTTTCTTTTCAGAAACAGTTTATTTTACAGATGTATTTTCCCATTTGTTAGTTCAGCTTCCTTACTGCAGGTGATAACAGTTAGGACAGATGTTTTCTTGGTAATCCCAAATCAATATTTCAGTACATATGAATTCTGCGGTCAAGTTCATTACAGTCAAAAGTCGTTAATTTGGACACCCATAATCCAGAATATTCTATAATCCGGACCTCAAAGCTACAAACATTCTGCGCATGTATGCGTTGCGTAAGACCTTTACGGCTGTGAATATGCATGTGCGCATGCGCATTTAATGTATAACAGATGGTATAAGCTAAGCTAAAATTATCTAATTCAGTTAATGTTGCAGATTGTGTTGTTCCTTAATCTTCGAATTGGATCTGGCTTATTATTTTTTGCAGACTGTTAGAGCAATTTTATAAAAGTAAGCTTGAACTTTCGATTATGTCAAATAGAATTTCCGATATATATTTTACTAATATGTAAAGGATCTACAAAGCAAAAGTATGTTTCGAAGTCCATTAAACACAAAGTGGAATTGCTGCAAAAAATGGATAAAGGCATATCCTTTGTTTATCTAACCATTCCGAAATCTGTTTATCAATTCCACGCTGCTCTGCGGCAGAGGGGGGGAACGTCGCCGCGCGCAATGAATTGGAAGTTGATCTGTCAGCACTATTCTTATCTTCAGGGCAGATGTTTTTATTTTATTT